CTCAAAATCTTTTGCCTCAAATTTCAATTTTTCTTCGCAGAATAGTAGTTCTAATGAGTCTCTACAAAATGCAAAAAAATTGGTCAAAATATCTTTCAACGTAAGAAAGATATAACCACTCAAAAATCGAAAAATCTTCAAAAAGCGGAAATACATACATACATATATATATACATACATATATATACACATGAATTTGAATAGCATATATTTTCGTGATCTACGACCCGTGATCGGTGCTCTTCACAATGTCTCAGGTCTGGGTCCGACATCATGGGAGAATGCAATAGTGTATTTCCTTCGGAAAATACACTAAAAATGGTATGCTGTTTCAGCACCCAGGATGTCAAAAGTGTGTCTGGTGATCCTAAGATGCTACCTTGATTGCCTTACGCAGTTGAATTTGCATTCATAGGATGTAAAGTTAACTTCGAGGGCAGTAAAGGCAGCATCTTGGCATCACCAGACACATTTTTGACATCCTATGTGCTAAAACAGCATATTATTTTTTTCAGTGAGGTTGATCGGACCTTGACTATGATAGCAGGGAAGGTGAGGAAGAGGAAGAACTGGCAGACGGCATCGGCAACGGCGGCGGCGAAGAATCCCTTCTGGGCCTCGGGCGAGCGATGGAGGTGGAGGAGCATGGAGCGGGCAGTGAGCGAGACGGTGAAAAGGGTGTTGACCAAGGCGAAGCACAGGAAGATCCCGCACAGCTTCTTCCACTTGAAGTGCAGGAACGTCTCGACGAGAGGGTGCGGGAGGGCGCTCTCCTTCAGGGGCTTGTCGCCCGCGTTCAGGATACTCGTCAACACCCGCATTTGCCGACCTGCATAACCAAGGGCAACGTAAGGAAATGTGAAGACCTCAAGATTTTCCAAATGGAGATGTTCCATGTGTGAGGAATTTGCGATTTGACAATTGATTCTCATGTAAAAGTTCGCGAGAAACACGATGGTGCCACTGGTTTTCTCTGAAATTATCTCCCAAGCTCAAAAACAGCTCTCAACTTGAGGCCAAAATGGAGGGGACATCCCACGCTATCCTGAGAGTCCACCTCTATATCAAAACAAACTCTCCATGCATAGGTAGGGAGCAAATACATATTGACAGGGCTGCCACTTCATTTGGGGACTCTAAGACTGAAAACACGGCATCCCTGCTAATGTATTCGCACCCTATCTTTGGCATGGAGAGTTTGTCTTGATGTAGACGTGGACTCTCAGGATAGCGTGGGATATCCCCTCCATTTTGGCCTTGGGCCCACTTTGAGCTTGGGAGATGATTTCAGAGAAAACCAGTGGCACCATCGTGTTTCTCGCGAACTTTTACATAAGAATCAACAGTCAAATCGCAAATTCCTCACACATGCAACATCTCCATTTTTCTTGATAAAATATTAACACTCCAAGAAAATGTATGAGTGCTATTCCCCGAAATTTTCAGAATCACAAGATTAAATTGAGAGTGGAATTCTCTGAACAATCCAAGAGGAAAAGATTCGCAAGTCTACCGGAAAATGTATATTTTATCAGATAAAATGTGGCAACGTCCGCATATATTCATACGGTTTTTATGTTAAGCACGGCAGATTAGAGCCTTTTTTGAAAATCTGTTCACGCGAGTCGAGTGGAGTTTACATAATTTTGTTCTCTTGTCTCCGCCGAACTATTTTTCACAGCAACTTGTTGCAATCAGTCGCACTAACGACCTCCACAAGTGTTCCGAACTTTATGGCAGGATTAATTTATTTCGGCATTAAAAAAGGCGAAAGCAATGGGAGAGGACGTACCACCGGTGGTGCCGGGGCAGAGAATGTCGTAATGGAGCTTGACGATGCATCGTGCATGATTCAGTGGGT